CAAGCCCTCCCCGCGCTAGTGCAGTCCTAGTCGTGTCGTGCGCCCGGCGTGGTGCCCAGACGCGGCAATGCGCGAGGCTCTTGGGATGTCTTCTCTTGGTGTTTAGTACACGGAGGATGTTGTATGAGTTTCGTACCGGATGTACGGTTCTTCCTCCTCCCTCTTCGCCTCACCTCCTCCCTGTCGCCCCTTCGTGCATAGAGCTACTTCGCTTTGGAGTTGTAGCCGGATTTTCATTGACACTTTATGGGATTGTGCAGTGGGCTTTGTATAGGTTCGTGCGTGGAGTTTTCATGAAGTCTGCATTCGAGTTGCAAAGATATCTGTGCAGACTTCCCTCCCTCCCTCTCCCCCTCCCCCCTCCTGCTCAGTCTCTGCCGGGCTGCAGCGGGCTGGGGCGGTCTGGGACGTGCTGGGGTGGGTATCCCCCCTCCTCCCCCCCTCTCTCCTCCTCCCTCCCTCCCTCCTGGTCCTCGCTGGGGTGGGATGGGCTGGGGTGTTCCCGTGCCGCCGCCTTCGCCGTCTGCGCTGCCGTCGTCGTCGCTTTTGCCGCTGTGCTGTCTTGTCGCCGTTGCCTTGGCTGTCCTTGCCGCCGCCACCGCCGCCGTGGTCGTCGTCGTTGGCGCTGGCACCGTTCCTGCTCCCGCTCTCGTCGTCGTCGCCGTCGTCGTCGTCGTGGTTGTCGTCGTCGTCGTGGTCGTCGTCGTCGTCTTCGTCGGCGCTTCGGTGAACGGAGGCCTTCCCGGCCGTGCAGTGGCTGCGGTCCGTCGGGATTCGCCCCCGAGCTCCGCCGCCGCCGGTTCGGAGGGACGCCCCTGGTTGCCTCCTGCCCCCGGGCAGTTTTTGAGGTACCAAACAGGTTCCTGTTTGGTACGGGGAAAACTGCCCGGGGGTGCTGCTGAGCCCGACGCCGTGGCCGCCGGGCGCGTCTTGGCCCTGCCGTGGCTCCCCGGGCAGTTTTTGAGGTACCAAACGGGCCCCCGTTTGGTATTGCGAAAACTGCCCGGGAGGCCCGGGAGGGCCCGCCTCGGTGGCCGCCGGGCGCGGGTGTCTGCTCGGGAGGCCGGGGGAGTGCCTCCTGGCCCGCCGGAGTGCGCTTCGGGCCTCTTCTCTTTCCGGGTGGACCCCTTTTGGAGCGAAGATGAAGCGCTTCTTGCCGCCCTCCCTCCCTCTCTCCCTCCTGGTCGATTCCCTCTTGGAGGTCTGTGTGGAGTTCCTGGGTCGGCGTTGGGTACCCCTCCCCGCACCTGCTCTGTGCGGGGGACGCTGTTGCGACAGTGTCTGGAGTGTGGAGAGGGCGGTCGGGCTCAGACCTGGACCTCGGCGCGGACCCCTTGGAGCCGGTCGTGGCTGGGGTGGATGGCGTTTGGGATGGGTCGGCAGCGTGTGATCCTCTCTCCCTCCATCCGGCTAGCCTCGTACCTACGTCGTGCGTTGGCGTAGGATGGAGCCGAGACCGGGCGAGGATCCCTGCCGGAGGGCCGCTGATGCCCCCTCCCTAGGAAGACCCAAATCTAGCGTTAGCCTCCCGGCTTTGGGCGTGGCACCTCTCCGGAGGGAGCCTGGGAAGCTGAGGGAGGTTTGGGCACGGTGGCTCGCAAGGCCTCGTACCCTCCCCCTCTCTCCCAAGGCTGCTTCCCTAGAGTGGTCTCATCCATCCCTGGGCTGACGTTGCGGGGTTGCTGGCGGTCGCCGGTGGGGCCCCGCAGCTCTCTGCTAAAGGGGCTGAGCCCGCAGTCCCAACATGCCACCTCGCTGGGAGGTCACCAACCAACCAACCAACCAACCAACCAACCAACCAACCAACCAACCAACCAACCAACCAACCAACCAACCAACCAACTCCTCCTCCTCCTCCTCCTCCTCCTCCTCCTCCTCCTCCTCCTCCTCCTCCTCCTCCTCCTCCTCCTCCTCCCCTCCTCCTCCTCCTCCTCCTCCTCCTCCTCCTCCTCCTCCTCCTCCTCCTCCTCCTCCTCCTCCTCCTCCTCCTCCTCCTCCTCCTCCTCCTCCTCCTCCTCCTCCTCCTCCTCTCCTCCTCCTCCTCCTCCTCCTCCTCCTCCTCCTCCTCCTCCTCCTCCTCCTCCTCCTCCTCCTCCTCCTCCTCCTCCTCCTCCTCCTCCTCCTCCTCCTCCTCCTCCTCCTCCTCCTCCTCCTCCCTCCTCCTCCTCCTCCTCCTCCTCCTCCTCCTCCTCCTCCTCCTCCTCCTCCTCCTCCTCCTCCTCCTCCTCCCTCCTCCTCCTCCGCCTCCTCCTCCTCCTCCTCCTCCTCTCCTCCTCCTCCTCCTCCTCCTCCTCCTCCGCCTCTTCCTCCGCCTTCCTCCTCCTCCTCCTCCTCCTGCCTCTCCTCCTCCTCCGCCTCATCCTCCTCCTCCTCCGCCTCCTCCTCCGCCTCCTCCTCCTCCTCCTCAATCCCCTTTCCTGCTGGATGACTCCTCCCTGTCGCAAACCCCACACGTGTCAGTAGGGCGGGCCAGGCATTTCGCCCGCGACGTCCTCACCAT